TAAAATCACTGGGATCTATCAGAATCACCTGGTAATCTTGTTAAACTGGAGATCTGATTTAGTATATCTGTGGTGGGAATGAAATTTCTCAGCAAGGGGTCAAACCACAATGAACCATTTTGAAGCCCTGCCTGAAACCATGACGCTAAACTTACAAATCAATGAACAAAATCTCACAAAGTGTTTGTAGACAAGTAGCTTCAGCAGCTTGTATTTTTTTTTTTTAATGTCATTATTGTAAATCTATCACTTAATTTTTGTGAGTTCTACTATTCACAGATGTACAGCTTATTGATAGTAATTACAATAACCCAACCCTTAATCAAAACATGTTATATGTTGTTTTTATGGCAACTGTCTTAGTTCTGTCTAATCACCAATGTAAATGCACTGGACTGCAAGGTTGGCAGTTCAAGTTCACCAGCCGCTCCATAGAAACCCTATACAGGGTTGCTATAGGTTGAATCCACTCTACAGTATGTAACAACAACAATGAAACCAAACCTTACTCAAAAATTGTATTCCTAATAAATACTATGTACAAACCAGTATATTTTAAAATTCATAGTATTATTTTTTAAAAGAAGCTTTATATGATACCATTGGTGGATTATTTTGTAATGTAGTCAATCCTGTATCTTTTTCATTTTCAACAACTATTTAAAAAGATAAAAGGAAAATTGTAAAGTGGCTATTTATGTATTAACTTTTCTCTAGTGGTTACGAATTGGGCTGCTAACTTCAGGGTCAGCAGTTCGAAAGTACCAGCTGTTCTGCAGGAGAAAGATGAGGCTTTCTGCTCCCATAAACATTTTGTTGTTGTTTGTAGCTGTTAGGTGCCATCGAGTCAGTACCAACTCATAATGAACTTATGCACAGCAGAACGAAACACTTCCCGATCCTGGGCCACGCTTGAGTCCATCGATGCTGCCACTTGGTCAATCCATCTTGTTGGGGGTCTCCTCTTTTTCTCTGACCCTCCACTTTACCAAACATGATAGCCTTCTCCAGAGACTTGTCCCTCCTGACAACATGTCCAAAGTATGAAAGATGAAGTTTGGCCATCTTGGCCTCCAAGGAGCACTCTGGCTGCACTGCTTCCAAAACTGATCTATTGATTCTTTTGGCAGCCCATGACACTTTCAATATTTTCCTTCAATACCATAACTCAAAGGCATCAATTCTTCTACGATCTTTCTTATTCACTGTCCAGCTTTCGCATTCATAGGAGGTTATTGAAAATACCATAACTTGAGACAGCCTTGGAAATCCTGTACAGGGTCACTATGAGTTGGAACCGACTCCATGGCATATAACAACAACAATAACAACGTCACATATATAAGCATATATACGACAGGTGTCTGGAGTCAGGACTCTAGACCCTTGTCTTAAGGTTGGGGCCCCATTTCTGCCCTAAAGCCACCTAGACTGTAGCAATGGAGACTCAAGGTCAAAATCCCAACCCTGACACTCCTTTGCTCCTGTAACTCACAAGCTCGTCCCATATATAGTCTCTTAGGGCTGTGATGGAAAGGAGTGGGCCCCAGGTGCCCCAGCTCTGACTCAGGTCCCTTTGCCCTACATGGTCCACATCATCTCCTCCTCAGGCGGGTTCTCATGGAAGAGCTGGTCTCCCATGAAACTAGCTTAATAGAAAAGGTAGAGATAGCTAGGGGGATCTGGTCAAGTACCCAAATGAGGTGCTGCACTGGGAGCTGCCCGGGCCAGACAGCGTAGCAACCCCCAGAACACTGTGTTCAGAACCCCGCACTTTGCAGACTCAGGTATTTGCATAACATCCAAATCACATATCGTCCTATTTCATAGAACATATCATTAAGTGATACATACCTGTGTAAAGTAAACAGAGAGAGAGAGAGAGTACTTCATGCTATTTCGCTATTTAATTATTTCATAAGTTAAATCTAAAAAACATTATTTAATGCATTAATAAGGGAGTCCCATTAATAAATGAGTCCTGGTGTGGTGCTGTGGGCTAACGTATCAGATTGAAAAGTCATTTGAACTGTAAAGTCAGTGGTTCAAGCTCACCAGCTGCTCCTTGGAAACCCTATACCGGGTCACTATGGGTGGGAATCGACTTGACAGCACTTAACAACAACAAGGAGTTCTGGTAGCGTAGTGGTTACAAGTCGGGCTACTAACCTCAAGGTCAGCAATTCAAAACTACCAGCTGTTCCACGGGAGAAAGATGAGGCTTTCTGCTCCCGTAAAGATTTGCAGCCTCAGAAACCCTGAACAGGGTTGCTATGAGTCAGAACCAACTCCACGGCACATAACCACCACCACCACCAAGGGAGTCCTGGCATGATACTATAGGATAAGCACTGGACTGCTAACCGTAAGGCTGCCAGTTCAAACCTCTCAGCTGCTCCTTGGAAACCCTATACAGGATCATTATGAATGGGAACTGACTTGACAGCATTTAGCAACAACAACAAAGTAATTCAGATGCTCAATAAAATATCATTCAGCTGACCTGGTGATTTAAAAGAGCTAATGTTGCTTCTAAATCCATGATGCTGGCATCAGGGAGTGGCATGGACATCCTCCCCTTCTCACCTATTTATTTTTATCTTTGGAGCACCTTCAGGAAATGTCATATTGCTTTCTAGGTTAGTGGCAGAGTCCTGCTAAGTTACAATCTGCCACTTTTCTCTCGCAGTCTTCCTTTGGCCTGTGATTTTGTGCTTTCATCCACTCTCTGATTTGAAACTAGAAACCTGGGTGGAAATAAGCATTATCCTAAATTGCCAACATTTGTTTCTGTGCCTTCTATGTCTTTTCTACACCAGCACTTTGTTTCCCACCAGGCATCTGGTGGCTTGAATTTTATTTTTAAGATACTTTTCAGTATCCTCAAGAACCATCCCAATTAAGTTCACTCTGTTGATGTTTACAAAAAAGTCTCAAAGTAATTAATAACAATTTTGTCAGCATTTTTACTTTTAATGACATGTTTAGGGAGAACCGTAAATATACTTATGTTTTAGAGTGTTGAGTGCTAATTCATAGGCAGAAATTATATGCCTCACAGTTTGACACCAAATCTTGTGATTATCTGGCTGCACATTATACTCATGAATTTCAAGCATGAATGGGCAAAGCCTTGATTAGAAATTATGGACCCAATGTTTAAGGGGGAAAAAAAACAAAACAAAAAAAGATAACATCAAAAGTGAGGTTGGCAATTGGTAAGCGTTCAAAAGCACAGCTCTGCAGTTGTTTCAGCCTGATTAACCATTCACACCTTAGCACTTGTTTTTGAAAACTAAACCGCCTGCACTTTCAGGGGTTTTGTTTCTGTTTTTTGTTTTTAAAGACAGAAAGGGTTTTTAAAGAATAAATAATGCAATTGGACATTGCAGTCTGTTGTTCCAGCAGGTAAACAGAACAAGAGCTAGACAGAGCCTAAGAACCTGGCAAATACTGTTTTTCAAAGGGGAAGAAAAGCAAAGAAGAAAGCAGGGACTTTAAGAAGGTAGCAGATATTGCATCTTAACAATTTGAATCTCTACAGGTACCAGCAAGCAGGGCTGTAATATTTAGTGATTAACTATGATTGACACTTACTGGCCTTGCTGCTAATTCCAGGAGCTATACCACTTCCTTTCCATTAAATACCTTCTGACTCCCTTCCCCAAATCATCTGAATGACAACAGTGTATCCCAGAAGATCTCTGTTCCCGGCCGGCACTGGCCTTTGCACATGCAGCACCCCAGTCTCTTAGGCAGTTGGCATTTTATATTGTCTGAACCCTTGCTCCTCCACACCACCTTTCTTCTCCACTGGCACATTAGCTACAATCTGCCAGCCAGCTGTACCACAGCAAGGATGCCAAAGAGCAGGACAGACACTAAAAGCTATTGGCAGCAAGGTCAATAATCACTTTCCTATTGTGTAGAATCTCTATAATTGATTTTTTTCAGGGCTTGTTAATTTTTTTCCAAGTTCCTAAATGCAATTTAATTTTTATTATAATGTGTCTAAAGTTTATCATTATCCACCTGTACTAAAACACCCTATATATTTTAAATTCAATAATAGACGATTAATTTTAAAGATGCCATAGCAACTAAAAATTAAATTTGAATTTGAATAAAAGAACTCAGCCTCCCTTAAAAATCTTCTCTTAGCTGGAAAGAATACTATTATAATTTTATGTGGAGTCTTGTCAAGTGCATTCAAGAAATGTCAAACTATATTTTTAGCCACGGAGTTTTCTTAATCCCATAAGACTCTATCTTGCTTTTATGTTGACAAATGAAGAAGACTGAAATATCAGGATCTGAGCCTCTATCAAGACCCACTTCGCATCAAAAGTTGTTCTTGTGCAATTGTTTTCTCAAAACTTCTGAATTAAAAAACTACACTTACCTTACAGTTCCCCTGGGTTTGCTATTGGAGTCCTTTGTTGTCACACCTTAATTGTCTCCAAGCTTTACCTTTATCGACAAGTCAATGAACTGCTGTGCAAATATAATGCAGCAGGAAGATCTGATGAGAGGCTCCTGCTAATTATAATTGACTAAGAACATGTCATCTTTACTCATCTACTTTCTAAGTATGCTTCTTGAATGGCGTATCTGGCCCCAAACTCCCACCCATTCATGTTTTTCTGCAAGGGATCCATTTTAGACGATACAAAATTCTCACTTTTATAAGAAAAGCTGCAGCTCCTCAGAAACCCAGTACAGGGTCACGATGAGTTGGAACTGACTTGACGGCACTTAACCAACAACAGTAATAGGTGTAAGGCAAGAAAAGGATTTAAATGAGTGTCTTATTTTTGCCCCAAATATTCAAGGACATTACTTGGAACTCAGAATCAATCAGGAGAAAGATTATAAATGAGACAAAGCTTTATGGTTGTGAAAAGTTAAAAATTTAAATGATCTATCTTGTCAGGATTTTAATTTCCAAATTCAGTAGTTTTCAACAGTACTATTTAGCCACTTATTTTAGTAAGCATCACTTATCCCTTCAAGATGTCCCGCCCTCTTTTGCAAAGTAGACTTTGTAGGCATTCCTTAGAGGTTATACATTACCATTGTGAGTTTTCATTACTATACATAATTCAAATAACTCTTTTCTTAAGTCCTTTGAACAGGGAAAAATATGGCAAATTATGTAACCTTAGCACCAGTTGTATTTATAATTTAAAGTGACCTACTTAAAGCTGAACTCATTTGTCAAAAATAAGACACTCAATTAAGCTGTTCACTATGTAAGATAGTGAATATAGAATCTCGTTATCATTTCACTACAATTAAAATGAAAGGGTGTTAAAATTAGCAAAATGTCTTCATTCAGAAAATGTACATTGTGAACTATATTTTAAGATGCTCTCATTTACGAAATACTATAATTTTAAAAATTAAGCAACACTAACAATATTAGCAGTCATAATTCCCCATGCCTTATTTTTTATCTCACAGCAATTGACAGTCCTATTGTCTAAGCCATAATTACTAAAAATAAACTATCCCCTGGGCAAATGCCAAAATACCAATGTTTAATGGGAAGTAAAGACTCAAGTCAAGCACACCTTGAACTAGGGAAGCGAATCATTTGCTACTGGAAGGATGGAAGTTTACGTAGATGACACTGTATACCTTTCAAAGAAAACAACTGTATCAGAAAGAATTCATAGCCAAAGTTGCTCAGTCTGAAACCGAAAACAAACTATAAAGTTAGCATTGTTTGTTATTGTTGTAGTTAAGTGGTGTCAAATAGGTTTTGACTCATAGTCATCCAGTATAGGATTTTCAAGGAGTGGCCTGATGGGTGTGAACTGCCAACTTTGTTGTTAGCAGTCCAGTAATTATCCTACAATGCTACACCAGAACTCCTAGCGTTGTTTGGGTAACATTTACTGTGTATTTCCCTTGTGGCAATGCATGAAATCTTGGGATTTTAACATGGGACTCAAAGAGAGAGCCTGCCATCTCATAGTCATCATTCCTTTCATGCCTCCTTCTCCACTGGGAAGTCTCCCACCACCAGATTCTTTCCTTTGGTTTTCCTTCAGCCTTAATATCTATTTGAAGGTTATGGCTCCAATGTTATTGTTGTTAGCTGCTACAGAATTGGTCCCTGACTCATGGCAACCCCACATACAACAGAATGAATGGTTGCCTAGTCCTGTACAATCCCATGATTGGTTTTAGATCAAACTGTTGACACCCAGAGAGTTGTCACTGGCTGATTTTCGGAGGTAGGTCTCCAGACCTTTCCTCCTAATCTAAGTCTGGATGCTCTGCTGAAATGTGCTCATCATTATAGCGTCACACAAAACCTCCACTGATGGATGGGTGCTGACTGTGCCTGAGATACTTTAACTAGAGATCAAAGTTCAGAGTCTTCCATGGAAAGTAAGAATTCTATTATTGAACCACAAATGTCTCATTATGATTGCTGTTGTTGTTGTTGATGTTAAGTGCCGTTGAGTCAGTTTCAACTCATAGCAACACATTGTATAAGCTTTTCAAGATGCTACTAGTGAGTCTGAGCCACTGACCATGTGGTTCAAACTGACCTTATGGTCCAGTGCTTTACCCCACAGCACCACACCAGGGCTACATAGCATATATCAAAATGTTCCCATGCCAAATTTCTTGAATTACCTTAGAAAAATTAGTTCCAAAATTTTTTACATATATGAATCTCTGGTAATCTTTTTTGAAAGTCCAATGATTGGTTGTGTGCCACAAAGTCGTTTCCAACTCATAGTGATCCTGTAAAGGTTTTCCAAGGCTGTAAGTCTTTACAGGGACATAAAGCATCACTTTTTCCCTCGGAGAAACTGGGAGATTCGAACTGCTGACCTTACGATTAGCAGCCCAGCTTGTCATCCATTACACTACCAGGGCTCCTTAAAACTCCAATACATGCAGATAAAATCAATCACTGTCCCTGGGAGTGAGATATAGATGTCCACAGGTTTTGAAGCTCTCCAGGTAATTATAGTTTTCATATAAGCTCAGGGTCCACTACATATGAAATTCAGATGAAATTGATTGGGGAAAGTAACTAACTGATAAAATTGTACCTATACAGGTACATTGTTGTTGCTGTTGTTAGGTGCCATCAAGTTGGTACTGATGCATAACAATCCTATGTACAACAGAACGAAACATTGCCCGGTCCTGCACCAACCTCATAATCATTGCTATATTTGATTGAGCACATTGCTGCTGTCCCTGTACCAAGCCATCTAGTTGGGAGTCTTCGCTTTTTCTTTAAGCCTCCAATTTACCAAGCAAGATATACTTCTTCGTGGACCTGTCCATCCTGACAATATGTCTGAAGTATGAGAGATGAGATCTGGCCATCCTGGCTTCCAGGGAACACTCTGGATGTACTTCTTCCAACACGGATCTGTTTGTTCTTTTGGAAGTCCGTGGTATTTTCAATATTCTCCTCCAACACCATAACTCAAACTGACACCATAATGATATTTGTATTCATTGGCAATTTCCACAATATATATATTCATTCAGTACCCATCTGCACACCATTTTTCTATTATAAACCAAGTCTACTTAGTCAGTGAACTAGTAAAACATGAGCGTTAGGTCTCTGCACATCCATGCTGGTAATGGCTAACCTGAGGGCCATAAGGAGCATTTCATTAACACTTCAGGAAGAATGTTGTTATGAAAATGTTTCTACCCATTTGAGTCTTAAATGTTAAGAGTGGAATAAGTGCTAAGTGGTACAAAGACTGATGTCCTTACTAGTTATGATTAGTTTGGGGAGTGTTAAATCTCCCCTGAATTTAGTTGTTGTTATTGTTGTTGTTAGATGCCATGGAGTTGGTACCAACTCATACCAACACAATGCACAAAAGAACGAAACATGTTCTAGTCCTGGGTCAGCCTCACAATTGTTGATACACCTTAGTCCATTGTTGCTGCCATTGTGCCAATCTATCTTGTTGGGGGGTCTTCCTCTGTTTATCCAACCCTCCATTTTACCAAGCATGATATCCTCCAGTGACTGGATTGGTCCCTCCTGACAATATGTCTGAAATAAGAGTAATGATGTCTGGCCATTCTGGCTTCCAAGAGCACTGCGGCTGTTCTTCTTCCAACACAGATATATTTGGGGGTTTGTTTGTTTGTTTGTTTGTTTTGACAGGCTATGGTAGTCATCACAAAACTGGGAGGGCCAAGCCTTATGAGGATGGATTAAGTTTATGTGGTGCAAACAGAGATGTTCCAAAGTGCCACTTGCCCAAAATTCACTCTTCTTGCTGATATGTCAACATTTATGCATGAATCACTTTCCAGGTTAATTCTTCGGTTAAAAATGCATAAAACAGGAGTCCCAGTCAGGTGACCAGTAGGCAGAATTTGTATTGAAGTTATATCCTGCTTCATATACATGGCATTTTGCATTAAACTGAACTTTAATGCTTTCTTTGTAGGAACACTATTCTCTGGTTCAACATAGCTCATCTGCTCCTTCCCAGCCCCCCTAACTACTCCTCCCTACACACATACTCCCCCTTTATCTCATACCAGATGTTTCACACTTACTAGATCAGCCTAGCCCTGAGGGCATTTGAATTTGCAACTCTGGTATTTATTATTTCTGCAAGTTTAACACAGAAAGCCACCATCACTCATTAAAACCTCACCATAAATTGATGACCCAGGCTAGGAAAAGAAAGGTGATGAGATGTGAATAGACCAAAAAGTTTTTTAAGAAGACAATTCCCACACAGCATGAGCAACAACAAATTCAACAAATTTTGTGAGGGTTTGGGCAAGGGTCTTAGGAAATTCATTTGAAAAGGGGAAGTGAACCTTAAATGCTCCGGTACCATGACGCTATATCCCCCAAGTTTAATACATTCTAATGTTTACTCTCACTCATGTGTTATTATAATCTAGGTACTTACTATATATTTGTTAAGTGAGTTTGTTGTTGTTGTTATGTGCCGTGGAGTCAGTTCCGACTCATAGCAACCCTGTACGGAGTTTCCAAGGCTGTAAATCTTTACGGGAGCAGAAATTCTCATCTTTCTCCCACGGAATAGCTGGTAGTTTCGAACTGCTGACCTTGCGGTTCACAGCCTAATAGATGAATGAATAAGTGAGCGAGACAGCTCAGAAGAGTTGGAGTTCTGAAGTTAGAACACAGGATACTTTTCAATATTTGCTGTCGTTATTGAGTACCATCAAGTCAGTTCTCACTCATAGCGACCCTGCATAGGGTTTCTGAGGAATGGCTGGTGGATTTGAGCTGCCAACTTGGCAGTTCAAGTGGACCTTGCAGTCTAGTGCTTATTCTACAGCACCACACCAGGACTTCTTTCAATATTTGTTGTGGTTGTTGTTTAGTGCCTTTGAGTCAGTTCTGACTCATAATGACCCTGTATAGCAGGGGTGGGGAATGTCCAGTCTGAGGGTTGTATAAGGCCCAAAAAATCATTGGGTCTGCCAAGGTAACCACAATTTCAGCCATCACATTGCTGTTGTTGTTAAGTGCAGTCGAGTCAGTTCTGACTCATAGTGAACCTGTATAGTGTTTCCAACAAGTGGCTTGTGAGCTTGAACCACCAATCAATCTTGTGGTACAAACTGACCTTGCAATCCAGTGCATTCACCTGCAATGCCACACCAGGAATCCAGACATCACACTTTTGTTGTTCAGTGCTGTTGAGTCTGTTCTGACCCCCAGTGACCCTGAGGAGTGGCTGGTGAGCTTGAACCACTGACCTTGTGGCTCAAACTGACTTTGCAGTCTAGTGCATTAACCCACAGTGCCACACCAGGACTCTATTGTTGTTGTTCTGTGCCATGGAGTCGGTTTCGACTCATAGCGACCCTCCATAGGGTTTCTGAGGCTGTAAATCATTATGAGAGCAGAAAGGCTCGTCTTTCTCCCATGGAACAGCTGGTAGTTTCTAACTGCTGACTGTGAGATTAACAGCCCAATTCCTAACCACTACGCTACCACAGTTCCTTAGGA